TATGTGGGAGTCTAAACAAATTAAGCTGCAAAATAAGGGACTTGGAGGTACAAAATTAAAGTATTCTACACCCATCTGTATCTTAATCAAGTTTGTTAACGGACTAGAATTGTTACTCTTTTGTGAGTGAATGCAAAACCAGAATGTTTTCCAGCCTGGACATTTCTGATCAGTGAGGAATGAGACATCCCCAGTTCATTTCCCTCCTTACATTTTTTTTTTTGGGGGGGGGGATTATGGGGAAATTTATTGTTACTACTAAAAACATTTCTATCCTGCCTTTCAACCCAATTAGGGCCTCCAAGGCATGAACAGTTTGAAAAATACACTAAAGTCAACTTTAAAAGCAACATGCACACAAATACCATCAACTAAAATATAAACAGGAAGGAAAGTCAAACAAAACAAAAATAGTCTTCACCTACTGGCAGAAGACAGTGACGGGTGGCAGAATTCCCTGAGGAGGAAATTCTAGTTTTGGTATACGGGACTGAGGAGTCATTTCCTGCTTTGCCACCTCAGATGACAGGGGCTCTGAAAGTAACTGCAAAATTGCCAGGTAGGTTCATATGCAAATAGGTGGTCCTTCGCTTATGCTGATCCCAAATCATATATTATAGGGCTTTAAAGCACCCTGAATAGGGTCTGGAACCAACGTGGGAGCCACTACACATGGATCAAGACTAGAGTGATATAGGTCCTAGAACCCACTCCATCAACACTCTGGCCACAGCATTCTGTACCAACGGCAGCTTCTGGACAGTCTTCAAGGGCAGCCCCACTTAGAGCACATTGCAACAATCTAATCTAGATGTTACTAGGGAATGTATCACAGTGGCAACATCTTTTCTGCCCAAGAAAGGCTGGCTCCCCAGCCAAAGCAGATGAATGGCACCACTGGCAACCCCTGCCACCTGTTTATCCAACAGGGAGCCTGCGTACAGGAACACCCCCAAGCTACGCATGTGCTCCTTTAGGGGGAGTGCAACCCCATCCAGAACAAGACATACCTCAATTCCTCACTCAGTTCTTCTGTCCACCAGTAGCACCCCCATCTTGTCAAGATTAAGCTTCAGTTTATTAGCTTTCATCCATACAAAAATGTCAGGCAGGAACTTAACTATGCAACCCCTCTCCAAAATAAACACAGAAACGGTCAGGGGTAAGCTTTGGTGGAAGAACTGGAACCATACTGCCCAGCAATTTCCCCCTGCAAAACACACCCTGTCCCACAACTGTGAAGTATATTTACCAGTATACTTGCATGTTCTGTACACATGTGCACCAAGGACATCTCATGAAGATAGCTGCATTTTTACTACAGTACACATAGAAGTTTGTTGTCTGTCCTCTTTCTTCATATAAACAAAAACATGGAGGCTTACAACACCAATACAAGTATTGAGTAATGGATGGCTTATAACTGGGGCTTCCAACTCTTTGTTGGGAAAGTCCTGGATATTTGGGGATGGAGCCTGGGGAGGGCAAGAAACTCAGCAGGGTATACCACCATAGAGTCCACCCTCCAAAGCAACCATTTTCTCCAGAATTGATCTCTGTAGTGTAGAGATCAGTTGCAACTCCAGGAGGTTTCCAAGAGTGACTTGGAGGTTGGCTGCCCTACTTATAACATCTGTTGTACAATCGCCAGCAATTTTGTAGCCATCAACTTAATCTTTAGGTGACTAACTTGGAAAGGTCCTATAACTCTAATGCAGACCCAAAGTACATATTCTTAAGATGCTGGTCAGCCAGGAGTCAGTACTGTAAAGTGCTTACAGTGTTGGAACAGGACTAGGAAGGCAGACCGGTTCA